CATTATGTAAAGGTTTCTGGGGGATTTATTACCAGACCTCTATCTAAAAAAAGTTGTATCACAATTACAACTAATGACTTACTCTAAAACTTCCCAAGGCTATAACATAGTTACTCCATTTTATAATTAGTACTTAAAAAAAATAATTTGTCAGAAGTAAATAAGAAGTGAGTGGGACTCATGAAAGTAATCTACATCATTTGGTGTAGTAACAGGAGAAGTCATATTTATCAAGTACTTACACTTTCTGGATTCTGCTCTAGACATTTCACATAATCACCTACATATTCCACCCAGTTTTGTTAGGCCAGCACTGTTTTATATGCAGGTTTAAAGGTGAAAAATGGAGGTTTGGAATGCTTTCAGTAAAGTTGTGATTTGTGTTCAGGGCTTTTAGCCAATGTCTCTTCATTGTTAAGCATTTGAAAGCTTTTAAATTAAATTACTTTTTCCTTTGCCCAACGCTGTCAACTCACATTATAATCTTTAGTGTCAATGGTAACTTTTGCTATAAACAGGAAGTTTGATATTGAACAGTGAAGGAGACATGATCAGAATCCAGAAGATTGTCCTGTTCTTAGAATAGATACCATACCTAGAATAGAAGGTTTACTTAAGATGTCACCCTTTAAAAGGAACACCAAAAATGAATTATTTAGAGGAACAGATGGGTGAATGGCAGACTGGAGACAGTCTACTTGAGGGGAAGGGAGTGAGATGGTTCTCATCACTGATGGCTAGCTTGCAACACTGGGTTTGGTCTTTTTCTGTAAGGCCTTGATGTAGAGAAGGACCTACAGATGAGTGGGAACAAAAGGGACTGAGACATTGGCTCAGGATGAGGAAGACTTTTTTTTTTTTTTTTTAGATAATTATTTTTTATTGAAGGGTAGTTGACACACAGTATTACATTAGTTTCAGGTGTACAACACAGTGATTCAACATTTATATACATGATAATTCTAGGTACCAGCTACCACCATACCAAGTTGTTACAATATTTTGACTATATTCCTTATGCTATACATTATATCCCGGTTACTTATTTATTTTACAATTGGAAGTGTGTACTTTTTTTTTTTTTTTTGTGAGGGCATCTCTCCTATTTATTGATCAAATGGTTGTTAACAACAATAAAATTCTGTATAGGGGACTTAATGCTCAATGTATAATCATTAATCCACCCCAAGCCTAATTTTCGTCAGTCTCCAATCGAGGAAGACTTTTTTTAAGAGATACATACAGAGATGGAATGTTACCGCAGATGCCTGATAACCACCTGGTTGAAAAATTCAGTATTCCCGTATACTCAAATTACTCTGCTCTGTTTTGAGATTATTTAAAAGTTTTTTCTTAAGCATGACTCAGTATGTTTCAACAATACTGGAAGAGAACACTGAAGAAGCAGATAATGCCAAAACATTTGCTTATAAGTATTCTGTCTTTATAAATCATGAACATGGCTCATGAGAAGTGGTTTGCATAGCACAAGCTTATTGTTTAGGATCAAGCCTCAAATGGACCAAAATGTTTCTAGATGTAAAAACTGATTTAAGGATAGCTCTATATTTTTAGTGGTATTATGTATTTTATCTTTATTTTGGTTTGGATTAGTCTTGAGTTTAGCCTACCTTAACCAATGAAAGAACTAGAAAAAAATTAGTTATGCTTTAAAAATATGTGATTCTACAGTTTTATCTTCATTGATTAATAGTAACATCCACTTCCCTCAACAGAATGGTTTATAAAAATATTTGCTTTAGTATTCTGTAATTTTTATCATCTAGGTCAAGCTGCACTGAGTTCTTGCTTCAGAAGTCCCTCTGGTTGAAATAACTATTCATGATGGTTACAGTATAAAAAGAAAGATCTAAAAGCAGGTTCTGGTCTGAAGTGTAAATGGTTCTGCAAGTATGAGCTTTCTAGGCTTGGCTCTAAGGGCAGGCACTAGGAGCATGGGTGTCTGCTCCTTCAGGAAACAAGGGCTAAAAGTGGGCTCACTGAATAGAGAAACAGTTTCCCTGTTTGAAACTAGGGAGCCAGTTTATGTGGCTCATCCACTCCAAAGAAAAGCATTCTAAAAAGATGCTGAGAAAAAAAAAGATACTTGGGACTATAGTTCTCGGGCAGCACTGTGTCACAGCCCTGTCTGGGATGATGGCACAGAGCTGTCCCTGAAGGTACACATGAGACACAAATGCCTAGTGTGACCCGGAGGCAGCATTTTAAATTGTATTTAACTTCACTGAAAATTAAATTTAAATAGCCCCAAATGGCTGGTGGCTACTGGATTGGACAGTACCACTCTTAATAAACCAAAAGACTCCAGGAGAAGAGAGGAAGTGAATACAGAATTTACTAGCTGATTCTCAAGAATTCAGACTTCTTGTGGTTGGGGAACTGAATCTGCTTATCCCCAACACCACACCTTATAAAACCCAGTTCTAGATTGCCTGAGTCCAGGAGGTCTGAGAGGCAATCACCAACAATACACAGACAGATGAGCATCAAGGAAAGTAAGCAGGAGAGGAGAGGAAGAAGGCAGGGAGACAGAGAGTAAAAGAAAAGAACGCAGTCCTCTCATTAAAATGAGACTGGAAGCAAATATTGAACACAGATAAAGGAACTGAATCCTGTAACAGACAGCCAATAAAATCCCCCAGGAGAAAAGTAATTTTATGGAACAACATGACAAATTTTTTGAAACATGTTTATAAGGCTCAATGAGATAAATTAAATATTAAATTAAAAATAAGATACTATAAAACAAAAGCAACACTCCCCCTTCTAAAAAACAAAAACCTCTTGTCTTATTAAAAGGAATCAGTTAGAAATTATGGGGAAAATTTAAAATAAATATAGCAAATTATAAAGTACATTAGATTCATAAACATAATGATACAATTAAAAAACAAATCAGAAAATTGAAAGATGGTCCTGGGAAACTTATCCAGAAAGAAACTCAGAGGGACAAAGGGAAAAATCATACAAAGCATGTACACAGATGGAGCGCTACAGCATATGCTCAACAATAATCTCAGAAAAAAGAAAGAATAGAGGAAATGACAGAAAAGCCACATTTGGAAAAATAATAGCTGAGGATTATCAAGATTGAAAAAAGAATTCTTCAATAAAAAAAAACACTAAAAGCACCAAAATACATAACTTTTAAAATAAAATAAGTCAGTTCACAGCTAGATATATTAAAGTAAAATTCAAGAACATCAAGGATAAGGAGAAAAATCTGAAAACTAGGCATAGGTTGCATTAAGAAATAAATTCATGGAATGTGAAATCCTGAATTTATTTATTATGGCTACTTTGTGAAAGGAGTGAAATGAAAGGGAAATTTTCAAACAGCTCTCCACTGCTTCTCTTGTTTTATTTCATAAAAGAACCTGTAGTTAATATGCAAATAATTACAAGATAAAACTGAATGGTGGGTGCAGAGGTGTTCATTATGTCTTCTAACATAGGTTATATTTTTTAACATTTCCAATTTATATTCCTTTTTGATAAGGTGTTCAGAATAAAATATTCAGAAATAACTGAACGTATTTATCATATCATACCTAAATGGTTAGAATCATAAAGCATGATGTAGTATGGAAAAATATAAAGAATGTTTGCTTGGTGTCTATCAGCTAAGCACCAGCCCTGCATAGGAGCAAAAAATGTAAATACTTATCCAGAATGAACATTCACAAGGAGGGAAAGTGATTTACATAGTGAAGGAAGAAAAACTCAAGGGGCTTTATTTAGCTTTGTCTAAATGTTTTATTTATTTAAAATACAATACATTCTGAAGCAAATATTATTGACATTTATTTTAAAAATGTGATTCTGGAGACAAACAAGAAGGGCATGGAAATGTTATATAAAATGATTTCAAATGCAAAATCACTAATGAGGCAATCATCTTAGAAGCCTTTCAAGTTTCACAGTTTCCCCTGGAGATTTTAATATGTCGCTTTGGGGAGGCAAGCCTTCTGCTGCCCTCACCCCCTACCAGCATTTAACTGTGCTGCTCTATTGAGGTCCTGTAACTGAAGAGACTGTGCCAGCTCCCTAAGATGTGCCTACCAGCAAAATGTTGAGATAAACAGCTGTAGGTTGAGGGGAAAAAAAAGGCAAGGGGTGGAAGGGGGCCAGGGTCAAGCTGCCCCTGTGACTCTGTGGTCACATGTGGAACTCCAAAGAGTTAATATGAACCTGGCCTTCCAGATCATTATTAAGGTAGGAGGATAAACATTTTACTTAATAGATTTTAGGGTGAATAACATTAAAATGTTTTAATATATGGTTGGCTGTCATGGTTGCCCTGGGTTGATCCCTGAACAAAATTAGGAGAAAAACAAGACACAGTCTTCATATAAATGATGGTTTGTGTGTCAACTGGTAGTCTAATTCTAGGAAAGGAGAGTGGGAATTTTGCAGACAAGCCTGGGACCTGTCATGCAAATACCGAAAAATAAGAAATGCTTCAACTTGGGTGACTCACATGGATGGATTTTTCTCACTGCCAGAGCTGCGTTTTCTTCTGTACATTTTGCATGTAGATGGTAGAGATAAAGCTTATCTCCAAATCTGCTTTGTTGTGCCTCAGATAAGAAATAGGCACTGTGAGCCCTACTCAGCAGCACTGATTAATTCCTTTTGAGAGCAGAGTTAGGGAAGGTTTTAATCTTGGCAGGAAACACTTGTGGAGTTTGCTGCCTGGAATCCAGGAGGGGATGGAAATAGTGGGAAAAGGAGACTCATACGCCATCGGAAGGAAATACATCTGCTCACTCACCTAACAGTGGGCCTCCCATTTGAACTTACATCAGAATCCCCTGGAGGACTTGTCAGAACAGATTGCTGGGAGCTCTAGAGAGCCACTTAGTTTTTTTTTTCATTATTAAGATTTTTATTGAATTCTATATTATAGTTTATGTCCTAAATAGTACGATTTTAATCTTTAGGTTAATATGATATAAAAACCCTACTCGGCCATGTTACTACTTGAGTTTCTTTTGGGTAGCTTTCTTGTTGACCATCTGCAATCACTTCATGGCATTGACCAGTGACTCTTGTGAGGTTGGACCTTTAAGGGACGTTGAGGGTGAGCTGCTTGATTCTGAAGTGCTTTTGCTAGTGGCACTTCCACTGGGCCCCGGTGCCCCACTATTTCCATTCCCACTTAGTTGGCTGAAGCTTTCTGGAACTACACTACTCAGACTAGGAAGACCTACTTTGCTAACATTGTCACAACTAACTGAGTGACTAAGGCCAGTTCGGCCCAAAGTTAGAGGGGGAAGTGGTTTCAGTGGCACAGTGGGTACAGTGCTATTACTGGAACTTATTTTGGAACCTGTTCTGGAACCTATTCCACCTTTGGATGATGTTCCCAGACCAGGCAAACCCACAGACTTCCAGTTACCTGATGAGGTAGCAGGTTTCCCACTATCGTTTTGGGTTATTGAATTTAATTTTGCTGTTGAGGGACCAGCAGAGGAAGTTTTGGCTGCAAAAGCTGCCCATCCAGTTAGACCACTAGTTACTAAAGAGGAAACACTGGTACTAGAAGAATTTCCGGAAATAACCATGGATGTCTTGACTTCTGTTCTCTTAAATGCTTGAAAAGTTGTCTCCTGTTTTAGTTTAGTTTCTGGTTTCTTAACCAATGGATCTTTGACAGCTGGAGCTACAGAAACAACAGTGGGAGCTGGTTTCTGTGGTGGTTTCTGAGTTTTTTGAGCCATTCAAAGCAAGGTCCAAGAACCAGCAGTGTCAGCATTGTCTGGTGGGAAATGTAGACTCGTGGCCACCACCTCAGATCTCCTAATCAGACTCTACATTTAAACAAGTTCCCCAGGCAATTTGTATGCACACAGAGGTTTCAGAAGCACTAGCCCAAAGGACTTGTCATGTATTTATTGATCATGAAATTCAAAGACCACAGAACCTGCCTTTCCCTATAGCTTTCTCCTCTATGTAAATTATGGTTTTCTCCACTCTTGTCTTTCCAACAAACAATTTCAAAATACATTACATTTTCAGGATTTTTCTGTCCAATGATCACCACTACTTCTTAGTTTTGAGTACTATTATCAATTTATTCTTATTTTTATATTATATCTATCATTCAGTGACTCGGGTTGGGAGGGTGAAAATGCCCAACCTTCCTTGATGTAATATTCTGAGCGTATTCTTTTACAAAGATGATTTCAAGCAAATTTAGTTGAATGATGAGTTGAATCAGGCCTCAAATACAAATTTAAAAATATCTGGACGCATGAGCCTTTATGAATGAACAAGTTGTAAATGCTACTGAGAATAGTTACGAAGTAACATTTGTAAAACCTTGGAAGATGAGAGAGCTGCCAATAGACTGGGAGTGCTCAGATATTCTTATTTCAAAGACATGAAGACAGACTTGCATAAATAGATGGTGTCATAATAGAAAACTATAAAGATTTAGCCCCAAGTCCCCTCATGGATTGGAGGAAGACAAGCCAACCTAATACAGTTTTCCTCCCTTGGAGGTACTATGAACCTCACAAACAAGGAGAATGATGTAGAAAGTTTCTTGATTTTTCACAGAGCATATAATGTCCTCGTGGGCAAGATAAAGAAATATGATACAGTCTCGATTTATAGATTTGTAGTGTGTACAACCACTGACAGTCCCTCAAAAGCTCTAATATCATGTTGGGCAAAAGCCTTAAGCAGCATGCTGTAGGCTTCACCCTTGCATTTGTCCTTGATGATATTTACCATAGTGATTGGGAGAAAGACTTGTATGATGTATGTGTGGTTCTTTTCTTGGGGGTGTGTAGACATGATATGAAAGTTAACATGATAGGCGAAATGCTACTTGAGTTCAAACAAATTCTCAGAAGCACAGAGTCTGAAAGGAAGGATCAAAAGTAGAAGTGGAAATTTCATACGGATATTTTTAATGTTACTCTAAAAAATCAGAAAACTCAATTATTCAAAGGTAGGACAGAAGATTCTTTTGGGGTAGTAGAATTTTGTTCTGGGGGTTCACTTAGCAGCACATGACATAGAAATCATAGAAGTTTAAAAGGAATTTTTAAAGGGCAGCTTAGTTGATATTATGATAATGATAGCATGTGAAGAAAGACATCGTGAATTGATTAACAAGCTACTAGAAGGCTAAACAGAGGTCTTGATTTCAGGGAAAAAAAGAAGGTCTCTCACAGTCCTAATTCCCTTTTGAGAACTCAGTGTGATAACTATTTGTCACCAGAACAACTAGGTATTTGGAGAGCATCCTGCTTAGCTAGCTGGGCCAATTGGCTCAGATAGGAACTTACGAATTTCTTAGGCAATACATTGTAGAAAGTTTCTTGATATGAAATAATTACTAAAAACACTCTAGAAGTGCACATTAAAGGAGTTGAATCTGGCCCTTAAAAGGGTACTTGTCACATTACTTCCTTTGTTCTTGCTTAAGACTGGCAGGTCCCAAAAACACAGGTTCACCAAAACGTGGTTAATGCTGACATGTTACTCTTCCAGTGAATAAAGGGTGGAAGTAAATCATCTTTCTCCCTTGGAGTGATTTGGGGAATACTAGATCCTTTAGTTCTATTAATAATACCCAAGTTAAGCTCAATGAGTATAAATTTGGAAAAAACTGGATCAAACAAAACTAAAAAGCTATCTTTATTGCAGCATTCCTCAGAGCCTTTAATTTCTCAATATCATGAATTTCTAAGGAGAAATATGAAACCTCATATTTCCCCCAGCATATGACCACGAACTACTCTTAAAAATATCTTGTGCAACTAATTTATTATAAAAATAAAATTTAGGAAAACCTTAAGTAGAAAAGTTCCAGGCTTTCTCCCACACTTAAGTTTCTATATACACAGTGTTGTTCTACTTATTCAGATACCCATAAACAAACAATATATTAATGGACAACAGGGAAAAAAACAGAAAAATTACAAAAAAATGATTAAGTCTCAGTGGCAGAAACAGAGTAGAGTGTGACATATAATTATTATACATATATCATAGTTCTTAAAATATTATGTCAGTTATCCTGATTTAAGAATTTGGCGACATTCAGACCATATTTATCACATATATCTACATCTGGCACAATGTGTATCATTATTTATTCAGAAGATTCATTCTTGTGTATCTGGAAGACTAAAGGGATCATTAAGAGATCCACACATTCTATCAGTTTTCAAGTCAGAGCTGAGAAAGCAAAACACAAGTGCTGGTTGGAATTTGCTGCCTCGGGATAGTTTTAATACCTCATTCTATGCTGAAACTCTTAGGATCCACATGGGGCTCTGGGATCTGCTCCTTTCCCAGTCTTACCTGCCATATCGGCCTCATCCCAACCCTCTACCCCCATCATGACCACCTTGTCACGTTCACCACCTTGTCAAGCTCTTGTTTATCAATCACACCACACGTGTGTGTACGTGCATGGGGCAATATTCCTAAAATAAATGATTTCATATGCACTAGGTATCCCTGGTTTGGTGGAAAGCACCATACTAAGGAGGTAGAAAATTCCTTGGATATTAGTTTTGTCTTTATAGATGTGAAACTTAAAAATAATTTGTTTCCAAAGACTACTTTCAAATACTTTTTCTCTTCCACGCTTTTCAGTCAATTGTTTGTCTCCATCTGACCTGTTTTCATGAGGAGAATGCAGCTGTTAGTCAGCACCGGAAGAGACAAACTATAGGAATCATGGGACAATCTTTTAAGTATTCATTAACTTAGACCAGATTAAATAAGCAGCATCCTGACACTCGTAATGTCACTCTCTTTTCCACACAGCACTGCTTTCTGTCCTGTAGCTTGTTTCCTTTCCCTCTTACTGCTCACAGCCAGGCGCAGTTTCACAAAGTAATTCAGGCTGGGAGCATGGTTTCAAATGCTAGCTCCATGATTGGTCTTGTTGCAAGACTGGCCATGCTCCTTAGCATGTTTATAAATGAAGACAATAACACATTCCTGTAGGCTGGATATTACACTGCAAGAAGAATAAGAAAGTTCTGCGTTTAGCTGACAATCAACAGGTGTAAGCTAATATGAGTCTTGACTTCTTTTCTGCCATATTTTTTTTAAGCTTAGTATCTGCAAATTGGAAAGAACTAAGTAGATGGAAACACTGTTACGATATTTTCTAAAGCATTTAGAACAGCATAAAGTCTGAGCAAATATAAATAAACAGCATCAACACTGTTACTATTACTACCAAGAATTGACTATCCAACAAGGATTGCTGTATTTTCCTTATGTGTAGAGCATGCTTTTGAAAATTTTCATCATTCATCATAGTTTATTGACAGCTGTGCTTACAATTGGTGTTTCCTGCTTGATCATACAGCTCTACCCATACATTCCTGAACTGATATTAATGCTCTTGATCTTTTGCTTGCTTCTGACCTACGAATATGTAGCCAGACTCTTGGGATGTCAACAAGACTCAAATATAGCCACCTCATTCTGATCAAGTTAGACACAGGAGTATGAGAGATTTGTGCTGTGAATTTAGGTTAAAGTTTAAGGTAATGGGAAAAAAAAATCCTGGGTAGTTATTTTATAGTCATTAATCTTACAAGCTTGCAAAGGTCTGAGTATGCTTATAGATATGTAAGATCTATAAGTTTATAGATATGTAGGAAGAAACTACTAGGGGAGAAGAATTTGGCAAGGCACTAATGACAGAAAATTGTCATTAAGTGACCCAGACTAGCCTATTTTTTAGTGGTTAATAACTGTTACAATGCTTACAGTGTATTTGTTACAACTGTTATCATTTGTATTTGAGTTTATAAAATATATTCATCTTTAATGTATCATTTATTATATAGTTTCTCCTGCACTACCATTTTATATTTGCATTTAATTAACTCCTTATAAAGCTTCTATTTTTATTACTCCCATGTTTAAATAAGAAAGTTGAGGCCTGAAAGGCAATGTGATCCAAGGCTTATCATTTTGGAAGTAGACCTGTTTTTCCATGAGAAGGGCTGGAGATAATGTGTTCTTCAATATTCTAGATCACTGATCCTACAGATACATCTTCAAACAACTTTTTTTTTTTTTTTTGCAAATTTGCCAAGCATTTCTGTATTTACTCTGCCATACTCCCAGCATCCTTCCTACACAGGTTAAAACTACCTTTCAGAACACAGGATGTAGAAACAAAAACACAGAAGATAAAGTTGGAAAAAAAAGAACAAATACTCTGCCTACATATGGCTTATTAAAGAAACTTTTATAACAAAACAGGTGGTTTATAAAAAAAAAAGAAATGATTTTCAAGCCCAGCTCACATTACACTAATTAGATGACCAGAAAGCACCTACCAAAAGTGATCTGATTGTAATACCAACAATTTATAAAAGACCATATTTGCCTCCACTTCCCAACAGGCTTGGTAAAAACATAGCAGCAATTCTTTTCTTCAAGTTGAAATTCTTTACTCTTAAATAAAAAGCTGTGCCTTCTGTCCCCCTCAGACTGTCTGAACCATCCTCCCCTATAGGGAAAAATGGAAAATCTTGGCTTATTAAAGTGATGTGCTAATAATTTTAGCAATAGTTCCATTTAGTATGGGTACTTCCCAAATTTCCACATCAAACTCTTTTCATATATCGAAGTTTCCCGCAGTGATAAGCCTTATAAGATTTCTGAGCTGGTTTTCTCAGGTCGAAACTTCCAATATATTTCTCAGTCTACGATATAACCTAGATGAATC